ATATACACACACACACATATATACACAAACACACACGGGTATGTACACAAGAGAGCTGGAGGGGGAGGAAAAATTGATAATAAAGAATTCACTGGTGTGATTACACAGGCTCACATATCCACAATCTGTAATCAACAAGTGGGAGATCCAGGAGAGCCAATGTATAATTCTAGTCCATCTCTGAAAGCCTGAGAACCAAGAAAGCCAACCGTGTAAGTTCAAGCTGGAAGGCTTGAGACTGCCAAAAAAGCTGATGCTTCAATCCAAGCCTAAAGGCCAGGAAAGACCAATATTCCAGTTCAAATAATAAGGCAAGAGTTCCCTCTTACTCAGCCTTTTTTATTCTATTTACGCTTTCAGTTGATTGGTTGAGGCCCACTTACAGAGAGAGTAATGTGCTTTACTGAGTCTACAAATTCATATGTTAATCTCACCCAGGAACACCCTCACAGACATACCCAGAATAGTATTTGATCAAATATCTGGGCATCCTACGACCCAGTCAAAATTAACCATCACCAGCTCCAAACTGCATGTTTTCACACCTTTGAGTCTATTGGAATATATGGTCCAAGTCGTGTTGTGGGGTGGCTTCCACCATATGCCAGGGTAACTCAGACACTTCTACTTTGCTACTCTTCCCAGATCTTGTTGGTCTTTATGATAATTTGGCCTCCCGGATTCTGGTGACTAAGCAACACCATCTGGCCTCTATGACTTGGGAGGATGTGTAGGGTGATATCATTACCATAGTTATGAATGAGCCCTAGCTCTGTGATTGCTTCTGCAAATGTCAGTCCAGGTTTGCAGCAAACTTCTTAATGACGCTGTTGCTACTCTTTACCAGATCATTTTTAATGGCTTTGGTGAATGGTACATCTTTTGGATCCTTCTATGAAACATAATGATCCGGCTTCACATAATATACCCATTCCAGAACTCCCCATTTCCCCATCTTTTTATTCATTCCTCCACCACAAATCAGGAAAACTAAAGAGACTGCTACTTTGTTCAATATTGGGCATTACTGTCTCCAGGTTTCTATAATTCCTTCAGCAGTGAGTTTGTTTTGTTCCCCTAGAGGCCTTATCAGTGTGTCAAATCCTGTGTCTGAAGAAGTATCTCCAAGTCAACGAATCTTGATGATCTAGTTTTATATTCTAGGTCCTCTGGTCAAGTAACCATTGGAGCAGGGGTTTACTAGGTCTTACTACAGAGGAAGATAACCTCTGCAAGCTTTGAAGTACACAGAGATCTGCAAAACAAATATCATTAAGGGTATCCTGCCAGATGTCCCATCACTTGCTTCATGGTCTCTAGTTTTTCTAATAGGGCCCTGATTTGGCTGCACATTTAAATGTCTATGGAGTTCTGTGACTCTATCATGTTGTGAGTCTGGCTCAACTGTGTCAGTTCTTCCACCACCAAGAGATAAAAGTTTCTTTGTAAGCTACTAAATTGACACTTTCTCTTTCAAATGGCCATTACCAAAGCGGGACCTTGGCTTTCTCACCTCTCTTCAAAGTGTCCACACAAGTTAGCAGTAACCTGACAACCCCATTGTCCTAATAGGCATCCCCCCCAATGTATTTCAAATATCTGAAATTATACCTGCAAGGGCTTTTCCCCCACTGGGATATTTTCCCAAGTTACCAATGTTGAACTGTTCAGCAACTGGCTCACTTCCTTGTCCTAAGAACTACCCATGTACCTATGCTGCTTAGGATGGCATCCTGTTTGCCCATGAGGTAGTAAGTCAGACCTAAAGCCCCATTCCATGTTTTCTTGGATCTGTACTAGCATGACCTGTGTTAGTTTGGATTCTCTGAGAAGCAAATGCCAAGGTAGAATTTGGTGAGCATTAGTTTCCTAGGGTTGGAGGTTTGAACAACAGAAATTTATCACAGTGCTAGAGGCTAGAAGTCCAAAATCAAGGTATCAATGGGTTTGGTTTCTTTTGAGGTCTCTCTCCCTTGTCTGAATATAGCCTTCTCACTGTGCCCTCACATGGTCTTTCCTCTATGTGCATCTGTGTCTATCTGTGTATCCTTGTGTGTGTGTGTGTGTGTGTGTGCACATGCATACGTGCACATACATGCACATGTGGATTTGTGTGTATGTTACATGGGACTGAACCTAAGACTCTTGCACTGAGTTAGATCCCCAGCCTCCACCCAAGTGGTGCTCAAACTTGCAATCTTCCTGCCTCTGCCTCCCAGAGTGCTAGGATCACAGGCATGTGCCACTAGGCACAGTTTCAAATTTCCTTTCTTTATAAGAACATCAGTCAGACTGCATAAGTTACCCTAACAGGTTCATTTGAACATAAGCACCTCTTTAAAGGTTTTATATCCAAACGATCATATTCTGAGGTACCAATAGGGCTTCAACGTATGAATTTTTTGGAGGACACAATTAACATCTAAAATATATCCAGTACTGGGGGAAATATCTATGAAAGGAAAGGGAGCAGAAGGTGAGAGAGCTTACAGACTATGATAGAAGTCTGACTCGTATGAAAGCAACGGAAAAGAATAAAGTGGATAGGCACCATCTCAGACTGCCGCACAGTACTAACAGGGTTTCAGCTAGGACAACAGTTGTCCCTAGGCAAAGCTTCCTGGGCCTTCATTAGTACTCCTGCCACGGTTAGTCACTGGCCAGGACAGGCCAGCATTACTTCTAGAGAGGCTTGCAAGAATCACAGCTACTTAAAACTTCCGATATTCTAGAGTTAAAATGTTTTGTTACTTTAAAATAGTCCTACAAAATGATTGAGGCAAAAGATCTTATTCAGGGAAGCAGCCAAATATAAATGTCTTTTTATGTAAATAACAAATTGTAGGCAGAGGTAAATGAACACGTGATTTGTTGAATATAGTATTTAAGACAAGCAGAGACTTGAATAGAATTATCAATATATTTTCTGCCATTTGCCCAAGGATGTCTGACATGAACTGATGATATATAGTATTTGCGATCAAATCTATTTCCAATACTTATTAACTTTGCAAAACAATTTGTTCATTTCAGAGGAACAAAAAAGCTTTGAAAATATAGTTGAAAAAATATGCTTTATTGTAACACAGAACTTGTGCTTCATCTCTAAAATAATTATTGCAGCTTTCAATTAGAGTCTAGTTTTTCCTTTCTTTGCAAAAACATCCAAAAATGTAACAAACTGTTTGAAAGCCCTCATTCTATGACTGAATGCAGGACTTTCATTAATGTCCAGATGACAATTCATCTCCACATCTCTCAGTATTTCACTTAGAAAGGTTGTGATGAACAAAGTTTTGTCTATTTTATTAAAAATATTTAAAAATTTTTAAGACTAGTGATTTGAAATACTGAATTTTCTTACTCAACTTCTCCAGTTCAGGGCTTAGAGGATATCTCAGTGGTAGAAAACTTGCCTTGCACATCCAAGGCCTTGGGTTCAATACCTAGCACTCAGGAGGGAAAAAAAGGAAGAAAAGAAATGTGGGCTAGGGATACAGCTCAGTCATACTTAACATGCATACAGCCCTAGGTCCAACCTCGAGCACCATCAAAAACAAATAACAAAAAAGCTTTTTACTTCTCCAAGAGGCACATTAATCTCGGTGACTAAAACGCAATGGGTAACTACTTGTTTATTTACTCAACAGATATATCCAGAGCATCTATTATAAGCCAGAAGGTAGGGTGAATAAAACATAATAATAGTCCTCAAAGGATTCACATTTCATTACTTTCCATTTCCTCCCTTAATTTAAAAATACACATAAAGTTTACCTATTTAACTATTTTTAATACAGTTCAGTGACATTAAGTACATTTGCGTTATCAGACAATGATCACTACCATCCATCTCCAGAACTATCTTCCTGAACTGAAACTCTGTCCCCATTAAACAGTAAGTCCTCGTTCTATTTCCTCTATCCCTATACAACCATTATACTTTTGTCTCCATGAATTTGACCATTCCTCATGTGAATAAAACCATATACAGTATTTATCTTTCTGTGCCTGACTTATTTCACTTAGCATAACATCTTCAAGCTTCGTCCAAGCTGTACCATGTATCAGAATTTCACCCCTTTTAAAGCCTGAAAATTCAATGTACATATATACATTTTCTCTTCAAATACTTTAGGTTGAAATTGCTAATTATTTCTAAAACGAAACTTTTTAAAGGTAGTCTGTAGCATTCCGCTAGTTATCCAGTTGCCAGTTAGTTCCGTTGTCTGCTTTTACTGCCACCCCACCCCTACACATGTATAAGGTGTCCTCTTTCATGGCTATAGTCTTAGAAACATTTCCTGCCTCTTGTCCTCTGTACTTCTTTGTAGTAAGTTATCGGAACAGTAACACTCTTTCTAGAGGATTTTTGAAAGCTAAACGTCTAGTTTGTATATAGTCAGAAATAGTTGCAAGGTAGGCAATTATGGGTATAAAGAGAACTCAGGCTGGGGGTCCTTCTTGCTGGTTTATTAGTCTCTAGTCAACCATTCTGATAAAGTTTATTTTGCTCCAAGACCTATGTGCTTAGTTTCCCAAGATGTTTAATAACTTTCTCAGTTGCTGAGTCTAGTTTATTCTCTCATGTTTTACTTTCCTTCTTCTTGTCCATAACAAGCTGTGACTTCCTTTCATTTATGTTATATATGGCATGAACATATTTATCTACAGGAGTACAATTTATGAGACATTCACCACTGTATCTGATCTTAGTAGGGGCTGCAGAGCACCTTGCATTCCTGAGTATTGAAGAAATATTATTATATTACATTTAAGTATGTATAAGTTTAAAAAAATACTTCTAAAGAGCAGGTTTAGTGAATATATAACCAATTTTTTTTTTAACAGAAAGCCACTGACAAGCACAAGAAAGCTAAAAGGTTATCATTCTTTTCTCAGAAATCTAACATACCTTTAAGGATTGCTACTTGAAATTTCTGTTTTCAGGTCGTGAGTTCAGTTCCTCGTACCGGAGAAAAACCAAAAAAAAAAAAAAAAAAAAAGAAAGAAATTTCTGTTTTCAATTAGTGCCACACATCTGATGGCTAGACACTACAAAAAACAAATTCCTATTGAATTCAGGAGGAATTCAGACATGGGCTGGTTTGTCAGCTACTTTTCCCTTGCTGATAATTGTCACTGTTGTGACAATTCTTCAGGGAAAGGGAATAAGAGAGGGGGCCCATACAAAGTTCCAAGATGTTACCATGTTGGTTGAGGGTTCTTGATCAATTCATACAGAAATCATGAACTGGCAAAGTGTAGCTCTCTTAGTGTTAACAGCCCTGAGCTTTGAATGCCAGTGGTTATCAGCTCTTGGGTTAACATCCCTTATGGCCGCTCAGAGCAAGTGGCTACTAGCAATCCTGGGGAACCCCTCCAGCCACTAGAGGTGCTAGCTCCTGACAATTCTCTGCTGCTCTCTGCTATTCTCTGGCTGCAAGTCACTTTTGGAATTGGCAGCTGTGGCCTTTGGTGTTACTAGCTCATTGTGCTCTACTAGAGACAGAAATGGCAAATAGACCAGAGTATGCCACCCAGAAGCTTTATTAGGACTTACGTTGCAGCTGAGAGGGGAACAGTGCATAGACCAATCCATTAGAATATCTTGATTAGTTTCTTTTTCCCATCGCTCTACCCTCCCTTCATCCCCTCTTCCCCTCCCTATTTACAAAAGTTTTGTTTCCATTTTTTCCTTCTTTTCGGTAATGCTTCTGATTACTCACATTGTTTCTTGATTTTTTTTTTCCGGTACCGGGAATCGAACCCACGTCCTCCCGCTTGCCAGGCAGGCGCTGTGCCACTGAGCTAAATCCCCAGCCCGTATTTCTTGATTTAAAAGAAAAGCAAAAATAAGATTGTTGGCCCAGTGTTGTTGTTGTTCTGTAGTGTCACTTATTTAAAAAAAAAACAAACAATAATTTGACCACCAAAATTGGTATATATAAAGCCTGACACCATTCTAACAAAGGTACAAATTTCTTTTAAAAAATGTATTTACCTTCTATGAAAACTTTGTACCTTTTGACCAACTTCTCCTTACCCAATCCAACAATGACCCGCCTCTCTTTAACAAATAATTCACTTTCCGTGTTCTTATGAAGCTATTTAGGTGTTCTTTTACCCTTAGGGAAGGCAAGCAAGAAGCACAGAATAAGGTATTCTTCACCAATATCAGAAATTCTGAACCAGACCCTGAGTTCTGCACTACCAGCTCCGAAACCTGTGTGGGATGGTGGTGATCTAAGGAAGACCTGGTAGTATTACCTTAACCATGCAGAAATCTGAATATTTTCTTACGGACTAAAACCCATCAATTTTTCTCAGTGAAGGAGTCTGGCTCAGACCCACTACAGCGCACGCTCAAGTCGGAAGGCCTCAGCAGAAACTGGAGAAGACAGCGCCAGAGCCGACCGTGACAGCCAGGAACCCAGGAAAAAATATGGAGAAGCAGAACGTGTTGAGGAAATGAAACTAACGTCCTCTCACTGAGATTACGGGAGCTGGCGAGGGACTTATCAAGTCAGAATTAGACATCCCAACTCCCCGCACAAATTCTCAGTTGCCAATCTTGGGGCAAGTCCACACCTTCTCGAAAAAGCTTACTCTCACCGAGAGCCTCGAGTTCCCAGCGCCCCTAGCGACCGCCGGCAAGGTAAAGCGGAAGAACGCCGCTTATCCCGCCCCACTGGCGCTAACCGAGGTCCGACGAGGAAGAGCCCTGGTCCAATCACCTGGGACAAGTACTGCAACTAGCCAATAGAAAGCTGGCACGGGAGGGCGGGCCAAAGGGGTCGCGAGCGCATGCGCAGTAGGGAGCAGCGGGGCCTTGGTGCTGTGACCGTGTGATTTGAGTTGGGTGCTGGTGGACCTGTGTTAGTCTTCAGAAACGTAGCGTAACCACTGTCGCCTTCTACTGTCCTCGCCATGTTCCTCACGCGGTCGGAATACGACAGGTCCGTGCGGCGGGGAGAAGCGGGTCGGGATTCCGGGGGGGTGGGCTCGGAGCCCGGCCGCGGCCTGCGTTCTGCCGTGTCATGGGGCGCTCCGGGAACCCGCGTCTGGGGACCTGGGGATTTCTCGCCCTCCCCAGGTGCCTGCTGTCATTCCCCAAGCTAACCCTGAGCAGATTGGCTGCGCTTATCCTACCGCTGAGTCACTGCTGAGTCCTGACTGCGGAAGCGAGAAGCCTGGAAAAAGGATGGAGAGAATCAGGACTCCGACCTTTAACCCGAAGAAGTTCGGGGGTCCCCCTGTCCCCGTTCATCTTCTCGTGCTAAATAGGATTGCTTTTTTTTTTTTAAGTGACACGTGTTGCCTGGAGTAAAAAGCACAGGGTGACTATTAAATGGGTGTGAGTGGAGCGCGCTGGGATGTAGCGCTTCTGCAAAAGCGCGAGAGCAGTCTCAGGGGTGCCCGGACAGATTCGTCTGGGAATCTGACTTTCTAGGAACCAGCACTTAGAATGGTTCTCAGAAGATTTCACATCGTACTTTCACGTCTAATATTTTTTTTAACTTTCATAAAAATTCAAAGCGAGTTAATTTTAATGTGATGCTTAAAGGCCAAATGTAGTATTTTCAAAAATCAAAGGAGTTTGTCTTTATTTTAAAAAGAAACATTTAGAGCTTGGAACTGTTAAATCGTACGTATTTATGCTGTAGACATTTTTACTTTCAGTTTCTGTTTTGATCGGTAAGGTTTTCACTTAGCTGTTGGTTTAAAGGCTGGGAAAGCTGATTTCTTTGTACGAGGTAGCTTGAGAAGCTTCTTTTCGAATATGTTGATGCTGTCAGTTTTATCACCTGGAACTACCACATTTTACCCTTTTATTGACTCGTAGAAGGTGTATGTCACATTTAAAACCATCTTTACCTACCGTAGTAAAATACATTGATTTTGTTAGTCGGTATTTAGTTTCCAGGGCATTAAGAGAATCATCTTTGGACGATACAGTTTTGGGTTAAGGTGTGTATGAGAAAATTGTGATCCTCATCAGAAAGCCTTAAGTTTTGTTATCATTCGTATATATTTGTTGTTTTGTATCTTCCCGAGAATACTGAAAATACAGCCCTTACTTCTTAGCTAATGTACATTGTCTTAGGTGCTGGTCATACAGCAGTAGACAAAAGCAAGATTCTTGGACATCTGGGAGGCTGTTCTAAAGAACTATGTACAAAACTAATTGTAGTATGAGACAGAAATGTATGGATATTAGAGGAATTTAAGTCAGCACTGGAAGTTGTGATGAGAGATGTTGTGTCCAGTAATAGATATCACTGAAGGAGGTGATATTTAAACTGGGTATTGAGGGGCTGGGGATTTAGCTCAGCGGCAAAGCGCCTGCCTGGCAAGCGCAAGGTCGTGAGTTCGGTTCCCGGTACCGGAGAAAAACCAAAAAAATAAATAAATAAAATGAAAAAAGAAGAGGGCAGCAGGACCATGTGCTCAACATGATAAAGACACTGAGGCTCAGCCCAGGCTGTCAGCTGCCAAGCCAGGATA